GGAGGATCTTCCTTACACATGACCATGACACTGGCTATAAACCATTTCAGTCACTGGTCAGTTTTAGGAGAGATTTAGGGGAAATATCACATCAATTGCTAAGAAATTGTATTCATTATTCATCAAAACTAATATCTCCTGGTATAGGGTAAAAAACGTGTGTTCATATTGATGTTACCACACCTGAAAGTTTCTACATCCCTGATAATACACAATTAAGCCCAAATACTAAGTATGACATCATAATATGTAACTGGTTATGTTTACCATAAAATTAAACCCACATGCCTAATCCTCTACTTGATAAAAACTTTAATTGTATTATTTCATTTAATAATCTTCACAACTACCATACGAAAAAGGTATTATTATTGTTTCTATTTCAAGGATAAGGAAATGCAAGCATGGAAGTTTAAGTAACTTACCCAAAATCTCACAGCCGATAAACCCTGCTTAGGCTGTGCTCCTAACAGCTACAGATACACATCCATATAGAAAGGAGACAGTCTTTGTCACTGTTATTTTAGACCCCAGACTACACTAATGGGCTATCGATTTATTTAGGATATGTCATTAATACTTTCATGGAAGTCTTCTTATACATTTCATCACATCTTGACCTCTGCAATGGTAATGCCAAAGGAGATTCTTCCACTAGCTTTGGTAAATGGCTGATTATTTATCCTATAATATAAATTGTTCTAACTAATTTTCAATAAATGAAGCCTGGTAGCTCAACACATGTTTCAAAATAATCTTATTAGCTCGGGTCGTGTGGCAAATCATAGAGTACAGTCTAATTAATCTACTTTTAGAACGTACAAACACGTCTTCGTTGTCATTGGAACTGCTGATTAGTGGTAACTCACTCTATTACATAATGAAACTAGGGGTTTCTGTGCAGGGCTGAAAGAATTTGAAAGGAGCTAATGGAAAACCCAGCCTGCTGACGTGCTATAATGGCTTTATTTCTAACAAAATCTACAATTACAATAAATTCATTCTAAGTTGAAGAAAAAAGGGTTTTTTTTACTTTTTTTTTTTTTTAATCTGCAACTTAACAAATGACCTGATTTCTAACAAAAAGAGCATTAGATGTTTAATAATCTACCACTGGCTAACTATATTTTCCTGAGCTTATTCAAGACTTATTTCAAGCATCTGGAGAAATCTAAAAAAGAGTAAGTGCTAAACAAGGCTCCTCAGCCTTGATGAACAAGGTTCATCAGCTCAACTCTTAACAAATAAAAAGAAGAAACATATACACAATGTATCTGTTTCTTGCCTAAAATTACTGTCCACCAAGGAGTGTTTTCCAAACTTGTTAATTGCTCACCCCATCTCTAAACATGTTTAGCATGCATGTTTAATATATGTAATTTTCAGATTTATTTATAAATTATAGACATGTCCAACTCTATGGAAAATTTCTATGTAGAAATATGGAATTTTATGTGGATGAGATAAACCTATTATGAGTAAATATTTATTTCACTTTCCATTGTACAAAAGCAAAAAGCCTTTTGGTTGTCATTAAAAATAGCTTTGGATGCCCAGATTTAAAACGTTTGCCAATCAAGCTGTCTACTTAACATCATTAACTGATGTAAAAGACAAAGCGGATACTTAGAATAAGATTTTTCATTAGCAGCGGTGGTTAAAGTTTCTGTTTCAATGGTCTTCTTGACAATTTCAACTTTTTGGCTGACACCTTGACACCTATCACAAGGTCATCATTTTTACTTTATGATATGCCTGAGGAAGAGTTTCTACAAGGAATAGAAGACATGTTTGCTCTGCCATTTTCTTGTCTTTTGCTTTTGTTTACATTATGGGAATTATCTTCCACTTGCAGCTTCCCTGCAGGAAGCTTTTTAATTTACCAGTCCATTTGGTGAGAGTTGGTTTAGTTTAAACTAGGTAATACAACTTGCAAATCTGTTTACCAGGCACACAAACATGAATTCATTACTATAGGCAGAGAGAGAGATGGAACGCCACTTTCCAACCTTTGGCACCAAAATGAAGTCTATTTCAGTACTTTGGTGTGTGGTGTGCACATGTGTGTGAACATGTACGTGTACAAACTGACACCACATACAAGGTGCCATTTCAAAGCAGAGGATTTCGTCATGCTATTGCAATTGTCCCATTCCATGTAATTCAATTAAATTCAGTAAGTGTATACTAACCTCATTCTATATCCATTTGCTAGTCACGTACTTCTAGTTAGTAGGATGCCTCTCCCCTAGACAACTCTACTTATAATTCCACTCACCTTCAGAATTTTTTTCCTTCATGAATTCTTTCCAAGACTTTTCTAAACCTCTGAGATATACCTCATAACCTTTGAGCTTTTGGAAATGCTCTATTCTTAACACCTAGAACAGTGATTGGCAGAGAGTAGAAACTCCAGAAACATTTGTTGAATGAATGAATAAATGAATTAAAGAATAAAGCTTATCCTACTCTCTTTTTGCAATTAACAATGAATATTTTCATATGAAATCTCTGAGAGGTCCTAAAGTGAGCACAGTCATTTAATTTTTCCTTTCCCAAGCTTATCCTTATCCTTTCCTCTCTTAACCTGCTTATATAAAACAATCTCTGGGAAGCATGTTTTGGGAAATGCAAAGGTGGGGAAGGGGCTATACATGCACCAGAAAATTTAATATTTTAAAAGTATTGGCCACTTCACTTTGTAATTTTAAAGTTCAATCAAAATGATGATGACCCAGGTCTTTTGTTATATTTTGTGTAACGTCATGAAAATATTTATAAACTCTAAACATCTATGCCTCCTTCTTTATGCATATGATGCATTAGTGGTGTAAGATAAGAAAATATGCATTTCTCTGTACTGTATTAGGAGTAAATTCCCAGTATGTTGAATGATCAGTCATTAGAAGTGATTAAAGGAAGCCAAATAAGAATTGATTTGGGCTTCCCTGGTGGCGCAGTGGTTGAGAGTACGCCTGCCGATGCAGGGGACACGGGTTCGTGCCCCGGTCCAGGAAAATGCCACGGAGCCGCTAGGCCCGTGAGCCATGGCCGCTGAGCCTGTGTGTCCGAAGCCTGTGCTCCGCAATGGGAGAGGCCACAACAGTGAGAAGCCCGCGTACCGCAAAAAAAAAAAAAAAAAAAAAAAAAGAATTGATTTGGAGTTATATAACCAAAGCAAGACAATCACTACAAACTCTCGTTCAATTATATCTATAGTGTAGAGGCAGCAGAAATTGAAGATGTTTTAAGATGACCATGATTCATTACTTTCAGCTTTTAAAATAAGATTTCCTGGCTAAATATTCAAACTAAAAGTCTGAATTGCTCTGTCCTACAATTAAAGAAAAAAAGTTTGAAAGAAAAAGAAAGGAGAAGAAATAACGTAAAAAATTTGCCATACTTTTCAATGTCATTATTCCTATAGAGCAGGGTCAGCAAACTTTTTCTTAAAAAGGTCAGATAGTAAATATTTTAGGCTTTGTGGACCATATGGTCTTCATCAACTCTGCCATTGTAGCATGAAAGCAGCCAACACACTAAAGAATGGAATAACATGAAAGTGTTCCTATAAAACATTACCTACCAAAACAGGCAGTGGGCTGGATTTGGTCCAAGAGTCATAGTTTGCTGACCTCTGCTATATAGAACAAAACCTCCCCACTCCATAGTTCTAATCATGTGTGATAGAGTTTGTGACCTTTAGTATGTTGGGATTTAAGTGGTTCTTCAAAGTCAAATATTTTCTTACATTTTATCAACCTTAGTACTCTAAGTTCTCATTGTGGTCTTTTAGCCATTTCTTTGATTTAACACATCCCCATAAACTTAAACATAGTACTACTAGATTAATACTTAGTAACTCATTCTGTTATTCATTCATATCAGGGAGATCATTAGTGGATGACCTAAAGGGAAGTTTTATCTGGGGACTTCTTGGAAGAGCAGGGCAGCTGAGGGGCATCCAGGCCCCTCTTAAAATTTCAGGCTACCTGGAAAAGAACCGAGTAAGGTGAGGGGACACAGCCAAGGGGAGATAGGGCTTGCCAAAATCAAACCTCACTGGTTCATTTGCCCCAAGGCTGTCCCTGGTCTTCCAATAGAATGTGATTTGGGCTCAGTTATATGTCTGAACCCAGAAATACGGAATGCTGTTTGTGAAGTACATTTGGGGGATGGGAGAGGAGAGGGAAGAGAGTAGGAATTGATGCTCCACTTTGGCACATGGGGATTTTTTTCTCACTGTCTTATGTATGGATGTCATTAAATAAATGTTGATGCTTTGAATTATTTCACCTCCACCTCCATAAAGAGATGAAAATATCTCCAAGTTCTTTCCTAACCTTTCCTAGATCTTGGGATTTACTCCTATCTTATCCCTTTCTTTTCGACTCTTGCTCCTTCCTTCTAATGACCAAAGTGACAGAGGATGGGAAAAAGAGGAAGAAAAAGGTGGTAGGACAATGGTTAGGTCTGAGGCAGTGAGAGGCAGGGGCAAGAATAGGCAATTTTGGTGATCTCAGCCTCTCTCCTGGCATGAAACATCATGCATTTCTACAGAAATGAGCAACAAGTTTACTTTAAAATATCTTAGCAAGCACTATCTTAAACATCAGAAAATAATATTATTTTTGGTTTATTTAATTTGAAGAGAGGAAAGGAGCACTCCAATAAAAAGTTAAAATAACTAATTTTAATGTAATTTTACTATGTATAAAAATATGTGAAATCTGGGACTTCCCTGGTGGCACAGTGGTTCAGAATCCACCTGCCAGTGCAGGGGACACGTGTTCGAGCCCTGGTCCGGGAAGATCCCACATGCTGCGGAGCAACTAAGCCCGTGAACCACAACTACTGAGCCCGTGTGCCACAACTACTGAAGCCTGTGTGCCCAGAGCCCATGCTCCACAACAAAGAGAAGCCACTGCAATGAGAAGCCCGTGCACTGCAACGAAGAGTAGCCCCTGCTCGCCACAACTAGAGAAAGCCCGCGCGTACCAATGAAGACCCAACGCAGCCAAAAATAAAATAAATAAAATTTTTAAAAAATTTTAAAAAAGTGAAATCCATCTATTTCTACAACATTTACTGTAATGCATCCATTAGTAATTTAAAATATGTATTTTTGTCTAAACTTGTCACCAGTATAAATCTTTTCTTTCCAACAAATGGAAATTGCATATTTGATTCACGGATGGTTTCCAACTTCTCAACCACTACATTTCATTATTATGCATCTGAATTTGTAAGTTTTCTTTTTAAAGATAATGCCTTTTTGTGATCAAAGTAAACAAAATGCAGACCCCATGAACCATGTAAGTTAATAAGTAAGTTTCTGATATAAAATTTGTATTATAGCAATTCAATTTCATCTTGCCTGACCAAGGAAAACATAAAGGAAGCTCAGTTAATAAAATATCCTGTAAGAAAATGTGTCATTTATTTTTAAAAATGATCTAACTTTATGGAATATAATCATGTATTTATAAATACTTTGAAAATGAAGCTGTTTGTTCGGCACTTCATGTAGAAAATGAATTACAGTGAATAGGAGTATTATTTATAATATAAACAAAGCATGAAAGGTTAATCTAAAATGCCAATGAAAATATGCTTCATAATTCTCCTGTTTTTCTTATTTTCAGGTTCTTGAGTGATCAGTCACAGCCTCCAACTTAACAAATATCTAGAACTAGAAATAGTACAATGTGTCTCTGAAAGTTAGTCCAGATTTTTATCAACTATAAAATCCCTTCTCATTTGCCTGCATATGTTTCTGTTTTATTTTTAATATTTTTCTCCACATTGAATTTTGGACTTTCCCCTCCCCATTTTTGCACAATGTCACACTTAGGAATAAGCTGAAAGAATCCACATATTAAATACAGTAACAGATCTCAGTTAATTACCCTGGAATGCTCTTGACTTGGCGGCCGTGATCTGAAGAAATGTTTTCACTTGCTGCATACTTTTGCTCCAGTGGCTCAGACGGTAGGTAGCATCACTGAACTTGTAAGATGAGAGACTTTACTTTCTCTTCAAATGGCAAAGAACTCCTTAAGTGGATAGAAAGGTCATCTCACCCTTCCTCTGTTATAATGACATATAAAGTTAATCATCAGATGCATCCCAAAAGACGCTCTTCTCCAAGAAAACAATCCAAACAATGTTTATATGGGTATATTTAGAGCCAAAAAGAGAGAAGCAATAAATACTAAATGACCCTGTGAAGTCTATTACATCTTTCAATTTGGTCTCACTAACCAGACCCCAAGAGCCTCAGCAAACAGGCCATGAACGTGTTCCTCTAATGACCCAATTCACCACTGTCAGCAAAGGTGACATTGAAATCCAGTCAGCATCCCTACATCCTAACATCAGCAGTAAAAAGAAAAAAAGAATCCCCTTCTCTTCTGCAGTGATCTGTTTGAATCTGTAATATGGCTTCATTAGTATCAGGCTGTAAACCTCTTCACTCTCCTAACATGTATACTGCTCATGGAGCTCATCTAGTTTCTCTCACCTCTCTGATTACTCAATCCTCGTAATATTCTAAAGCCTCACAAATCCAATCTTATTCATGAGATCGCCCTACTCTGAAGTAGCTTTCCATTTCTCAGTCTTCTAGAACATTTGCTGTAACACACACAGTAGTACTTAAAATTAATGTGTATTTTAGTCTCAACATTTCACCAGTGTAAATCTTCACTTCCCAAGAAATGAAATTACATTTGATTCAAGTTTGTATCTTGAAACATATGTGTTTTGAAGTAGATTATTTTTAGTGGTTAAATCAGAACGTTTTAAACAGTCAATTCAAAGGCAAAAAAGGAGCAGGAAATTTTTGTAGCAATGGCTTCTTGTTTTAATTCCTTTATGAGCATTTGATATCAGATAGATTCAGACTGACTGATGGGATGGAGTATCAATATATTTAGAGGAAGTTGTACAAAGAAGAAAATGCTGAAAAATTCTCAGAACGACTTCCTGTTTCACAGTTGTTATGTCTCTGCAAATGTTTAGGGTTTTGTTTGCCTTCCTTGCTCTTGGTGTTTGATTCGTATTAAGTTTCAAACTTGTTGTTTAACATTTAGACGTTTTGAGCATTTTTCTATTGATAACTTTCCAAAGAGAGTTATATTTCACTTTAAGCCAGAATTCTCATGATTATTTTCCAGTTTTCACTCCAAAATCCCACTGACTAAAATGATCTATCATAAACCTTTTAGTGGTGCACCTATCTCTACTCTGGAGAGAAATATTTGGAAGGGCAATATTTTTACAGATCCTTCCATCAAAATGCAATCAATGGCTTGACCTCTCAGGTTTCCAATTTGTAGATTCTGGGAACAAAGTTGTCCTAAAACTGCTTAACTTTAATAAGTGTGCTCTTAAGGTTGCTAAAAGTTAAGCCCTGAATTTACAGATATCAATCTACTTTTCAAAGAGTTGCCCTCACAAGGGTTGCCGCTCCTGTTATTCAGAAGCAAATTTTTTCCTGGAAATAGGTATGTGCTTTTCATCAGAGGAAAAAAATAGTAAACTTGCTATGCCAGTCATCCATCTCTCCATCCATTCATTCAGCATTTGTGGAGCATTCATGTCTTCTGAAGGCTGTAAGTGCATTTAGCTGGATTCTATAATCTATGTAAAGGAATACATACCATATCTGACATTGAAGAGCTTCCCATTTAAAGTACAGAGTTCAGTTCATTCATTTTCAAATATTTATTGTGAACCTACTCAACTCAAGGCTGTGTCAGATGTGTTGAGGATGCCATGCTGAACAAAAGGAACCCAATCTTGCTATCTTTGAACTTAAGGTTCATTGTAGAGCTTGACACTAAAACCTGAAGGAGCGAAAGCAACTAACCATGAAGAGATGTTCGGGTGGGACATTGCTGGCAAGCGAATAGTAAGGGTAGGAATTGAAGCTACCTTCTAGAGCAGGGCTAAGGTAGGAATGATTGCAGTATGTTTGAAGACAAAAGACCTGACCACAGATAACTATCAAAAAGGTATATTCTGCTCGGATTGTAGTGGGTAAAACAAAAGATGAGGGTGGTGGGTGGCAAGGATACTAGGGACAGGAAAGCTTTTATAAAAGAAATTTCATAAAGTGACATGTCATTAAATGAAAGGTGAGCAGAATTTCAGAGGATAATAGAAGGGGGAGGGCATTCAGAACGAAGGTGCTGCTGAACCCAGGCAGAAAAACAAGATACATCTTGGGAAATGCAAGTTGTTCTACATGGCTAGAGGGTAGAGTGGTGACAAGTGTACTAGAGCAAGGTGGCAAAGAAGGAGAGGCAGGCGTAAATTAAGATTGCTAATGGCCGCGAATAACAAGAATGTAAATGACAGTGGCTTAAGTAATTAGGAATTTTGTTTTCTATCAAGAAGTTTGGTGGTAAGCACTTACTCACTTTGATCCAGCAGCTTAATTATATCAGGGCTAAATGTCAGTCTCCAGGCCTTCGCCTCATAGGGTCAACATGGCTGCCACAGCTCCCATCATGTCATTCCCACCCCAAGTATCCTCAGTCCCCCAGTGCAGGGAATAAGGGGTTGAATCACACAGAAAAGAACCTTTTCTTTTAGAGTACTTCTTTACTTTCAGGGAGCAAAATTCTTTCCCAGAAACTCTCCAGAAAACTTCCCCTTATACCTGGGTAACATGCCCACCTTAGATGAGGAATCAATTTTCCTAAGGTCTAATAAGTCAAGATTTTCTTGGCAAGGAAGGAGGAGGAGAAATACTATTGTGGTGGCAGACACTGTGTTTGCCAGAGCAGAAGTGGATGATGGGAAGCCGAAGTAATCGACTTCTCTCTGTGGACAATGGGCCTCTGGCTGAAACCTCAGCTTATGATAGCTTAATGTTCATCAGACCTTTTGTTCCCTTAAACTTCCCATTTAAAACATTTTGCTGTACAAAGCTTCATTTTTTCCCTACTTTTTGCCCTCTTTCTGTCTGTGGGGTTTGTGGATGAAATAAGTATTGCTGAATTCTATTATTGGTTTTCAAGGTAATACATTCAAATCCAAACAATAAAATCCACCAGAATAGAATTCTTTCTAAGCAGTTTTATAATACAGCTTTCTAAGAGACTTTTCTCTTGGGTCACAAAAGTAGACAAAAATATCACTTATACTACCTTATTAATTATTATGTTAAACAATGAGTCATATATATATTAATTTTTCTTTCAGGAAAAGTAAAAATCGCTCTCATAGGAGAATATAGAAAATATAAAGATTGATATCTTATTTTGCTTACATATACAACATACCTAACGACCTACATTTCTTATTCAACCAAGAAAAAGATACAAGACAAGCACACTGATGATGAAAATCATTTCCTGCATTTCATTAAATTAAATAAAATTAAAGCACATTTCATTGTGCTTTTATGCTACATTAAATGAGGAGTCTAAATAAATTCCTACCTGCTCAGAAAGATCCCTCAACTTATGCTATAGGCATTTTAGTTCGGCGTTTGCTTCTTCTGCCTTAAGGAAGAAAAAAAAGGTGATACATTCTCATTACAAATATCCATCTGCAATTGAATGCACTGCCCATTTACTATTTGTAGCAGTTAGGATTGTACTTTTTTGAAGTATGAGTATAGAAAGACACTATGCTTGGTAGTTCAGACCCATTATGAATATACAAGTGAGGGGCTGAATCATGTCCACTAAGAAGTTCTAGTTTGTGGTAGAAACTATAGAAAATGGCTTTGCAATGGTGGGAGTCTGTAATTGGCCACTTTAGTCCCTTTACCATCTAGATTCTGCCAAAGACTTCTGGATTCCCCTCTAGTGACCCTTCACCCAGAACATCCACATGACTAGGGACTTCTTAACTTTTTCATCATGAGGACTTTTTCCTCAGATACCTATACAATGTTCTGTTTCTATCCACGTTCATTTAGTATGTATGGTTAAGAAAACACAAAATAAGAAGTGAACATGCATCTAGTAATATTTTTAAATGTATTTGTTAACTTTGGGTTAAATGTGAAGACTTGACCGCAGGTGATTATCTCCTCTTCCTCCCAAACACCATAAAAATGGCTTTTAAAACTTTAAAAAATTAACAAATGAGGATGAAGAGAAAAATAGAAAATATAATTTCAGAAAGACCATTAGAGCAATTTTTAGAGAGTCAAATAAGATGCAGGAGGGATTATTGACATAGCAGGGCAGAGAATGCCCAAAACTAACTGACCACAAGAGGGTGTTCTGATGGGAAATGAGCTTGTTTACCTCACAAATCCTCCAAGAGTCTCTGTATGTGGGGAAGCAGGTAACATGAAAAGTGGAAGGCAGTCTAAAGACTGAACACTCAGAGATTGTTTAAAGTCTCTTAATTCTCCCACAAATGCACACTAAGGGAAAAAAATTTTAGTATCTGGAGAAGTTTACTCAGGAACCAGTGAATACCAAGTAACAGAGCTTTAGGAAGAAAACAGGGTGATAAAATTGGTCTACGTGCATCCCCTATTCTACCCATAGTCCGTTTCCTCAGCCTTGCTTCCAGAATACTGGTTTCCATGTTTATCTTTCTTGGCAGAAAATTGGAGTCTGTGAAAAAAAAACTGAAAAACTTCAGATAAAAGACTTCTAGACGTTTGGGAGTTTCCTAAATACATGGAGGAGTTCACTCTAAGTGAAGTCAACTAGTTGAGTCCTGTTCCCCTGCCCCAGCCTTCTCCCTTACAACCCAGAGCTTTCTGAACTTGGATCATATATATAAATATTTACTGAAGGAGTAACATACATGAGAAGAAATCCATTCCCATGGAGAGACCAAAACAAACAAATATTTCTAAAAATTGGACCCAGCTAAAACAGGCAAATAGATCAAATAATATCACTTTCATAAAATAAGAACAGGAAACGATTTTTTAAAGCAATCAGAGAAAAAGAAATTAGGAACTAAAGTACAGTACGAAAAATTATTAGAAATCTTTACAGAAAATCTATAAAGTAGTTCAAACAACAAAGAGATAGAAAATAATAATTTAAAAAATAGAAAATTAGAGGATTCATTTAGGTGGGTTAACATCCAACTAGGAGAAATTCTAGAGAAAGAAGAGAAAAAAAGAGGAGATGAAATGGTCAAAGAAAAAAAAATTACTCCCAAACTGAAGGGCTTCTATCTTTAAGTTGAAAGAGCCCATTGAATGCCCAGTAAAATTAATGACACAAAATAGTCACACAAAGTCTTATTATAATGAAATTTCAGTATGCCTGGGGTTAAGAGGCAGACTTTAAAACACTCACAAAGTAAATATTAATCTGACCAGTAACATTAGAATTCAAAGGACAGTAGAACAAAGGTATGAAAAATTCTGATGAAAATTATTTTCAACCTTTAATTTTATACCCGGCCAAGGTATCAAGTCAAATATGAAGACTGAATAAAGGCATTTTCAGGTATGCAATAATTTTTAAAACTTATCTCTCATATACCCTTTCTTAGGAAGTGACCAAATTTATAATTCATAAAAAATGACATACTAAAGCAGGAAAGAGAAAATGAGAGGATTCAGGGATGAGTGTCTTTATTACAGGAGATAAAAAAGGGAACTTCTGGCATGATTAATGTGCTTTAAGACTAAAAAACTATTAGTTTATACTGAATCAAGAAATAGATATATGTAGGAGGCAGATCGTCAGTTAAAACAAAACAAAAAGCAAAAATTAAATGACGGGATTGTTAGCTGCTTTGAAGTATTTGTGTCTTTGGGAAAATATTGGCTGGTATTTAACAGATATGTTAGAGCATTTGCAAAAAATAATCAATGGTAACTATATAAGAAAATAAGCAGGTTTAAATATAATGAAGTAGTAATTGCCTTCAGTATCAAAAGTCATATAAGAATGAAACCTAATAAACATACACTATTGTTTCAGCAGCGAATAATACTTATTTAATGCTATGGTCTGAATGTTTTTATCCTCCAAAATTCATGTGTTGAAATACAAATGTCCAATATTAGGATGTGGAGCCATTGGAAGGTGATTAGATCACAAGCGTGGAACTTTCATGAATGCAATTAATGTCCATAAGGAAGAAGTCATAATGTCCATAAGGAAGAAGAGGTCAGAGAGAGATCCCTGGCCCCTTCCACCATGTGAGAACAAAGGGAAAAGTTGGAAGTCTGCAACCCAAAAGATAACCTTCCAGTAATCCAGCCATGCTGGCAGCTTGGACCTCCTGCCTCCAGATGTGTGAAGAGTAAATTCTGTCTTTTATAAGCTACCTAGTCTGTAGTATTTTGTTATACCAGCCTGTACAGACTAGGAAGTATAATAAAAATAATGTAAAGACTGGCTGCTGCTTTATCATAGATGGAAGAAATGAAGAGTGAGGTTGGTGAAGAGAACCAAATTCTCAATTACCCTCAATACCCTCAAATACCTCTAATTCTCTTAATCCCCCTGTTTAATATATTACTTCAATCCCTAACTATGTTCAGAGACCCTCTATTAAGTAAGTTTCCGGAATTTTGCTGGGACTTTTCCGTACTACACAGAGGGAGTGAGGATTCTGGGAGTCTGTCAGTTTCTTAATCAGAACTTCCCACAATCGTACTGTTTTGAGAACTTTCAGAGGTATTTGGTATGATCAATTGCTTATATTCTAGGGGGTTATGGATCTGAAGCAAAAATTGGGTTGCTATTCTGTGAGCTTAGGCTTCAACTCTTCAACTAAGCCAGATATTCTTCAGTTATCTCCTTCTCAAATTCTCAAAATTTTGTTGCTCTCACCTACAGTTTGTTCTTCTGTGTTCTTATATGTCAATGCCTTTCTTAAATTTTGAAGTAATTGTAGATTAATGGGAGGTTGCAAAGAAATGTACAGGGAAGTCCTGTGCACACTTCCCCCAGCATCCTCCAATGTTAGCGTCTTACACAACTATAGTACAATATGAAAACCAAGAAGTTGACATTGGCTTAAAGCTTATTCAGAATCCATCGGTTATACATGCACTTATTGGTGTGTATGTGTGTATCTATGCAATTTATCAGATAAATAGGCTTGTGTAACTACTACCACAATCGAAATATGCAGCTATACCATCACAAGACTCTTGTTACCCCTTTATAGCCACACTCATCCCCTCGCCTCCTGCTCCTAAACCCTGACAACTAATATGCTATTCAACTCCATAATTATGTTATTTCATGAATATTATTTAAATGGAATCATGTAGTATGTATTCTGTTGAGATTGGCTTCTTTCTACTCAGCATAATTTCCTTGCAGTTCCTCCAAGGAAATAATCGCATGTATTAATAATTCCTTCCTTTTTACTGCTGAGTAGTATTCCATGGTATGGACATACCACAATTTAATCATCCATCTGCAGAACATTAGAGTAGGTTCCAGTTTTTGGCAATTAATAATAAAGCTACTATGAATATTTGTGTACAGATTCCTGTGTGAAGATAAGTCTTTATTTCTCTGGAATAAATGCCCAAGAATGCAATTGCTGGATCATATGATAACTCCATTTTTAGGTTTGAAGGAAAGTATCAAACTATTTTACAGAATGGCTGTACTATTGTACATTCCTACCAGCAATATATGAGTAATTAAATTTCTCTGCATCCTCACCAGCATTTGGTATCGTCATTATTTTTTTTAACCTGTAGCCATTGTGATGTATATTGGTATCTTATTGTAGTTATAATTTACATTATCTAATTGCTAAATAGTCCAAACACGTTTTTGTGTGTTTATCTGTCATATGTTTTTTCTCTTGGGTAAAATGTATGTGTTTATCTTTTTGCTCATTTTCTAATTGGATTGCTTGTTTATTTTTTTTCTCATGCCGAATATTAAGAATTCTTTATATATTCTAGATACAAGGACTCTGTTGGATAAGAGACTTGCAAGTATTTTCTTCAAGTGTGTAATTTGTATTTTCATCTTTATAGCAGAGTCTCTTGCAATGCAAACGTTTCTAATTTTGAAGAGGTCCTATTTATCAATTTTTCCTTTTATGGATCATTCTGTTGGTGTCAAGTCTAAGAACTCTTTGCTGGTCCTAGATTTTGAGGATTTTTCTCCTATGTTCTTTCCTAGAAGTTTTATAGTTTTATGTTTTACGTTAAAGTCTGTGATCAATTTTGAGTTAAAGTTTATATTAAGTGAGAAGTATAGGTCAGAGCTATTTTTTTTTCTAATGGATGTCCAATTGCTCCAAAACCATTCACTGAAAAGGATATCCCTCTCCCATTGAGCTGCTTTTGCCTCTGTGTCAAAGATTAAATGGGAATATTTGTGTGGATCTCTTTCTGGGTTCTCTATTCTCTTCTGTTGATCTATGTGTGTCTCTCTCTCCATTGGTATCACACTGTCTTGATTAGTGTGTCAATGTCTTTTTAACTTCTCTTTACTGTTGTTGTTTTTTTTTTTTAAGAAGGAATACAAGAGATATATTGGAAGTAAAAGTATATGTTTGATCTGTTATTTTTTACTAAAATCTACTGTTTAAATATCTTTTTCATTGTTTCACTAGCTGGGACAAAAGTATTAATTTTGTAGAGTTTAAAAAATGATTTATTAGTATTTTCATTACTATTTGGGTAGTATATTTGAAAAATAATACCTAGGTCTGTGACAAATGCTGAAGAGAATACAAGCATAAAATAAGCCAAATCAGAGAAGGAACAATAAATTTTGCCAGAGATGAGGTGGAGGAGGAGGGTAAAAGAATGATTAGGGAGAGTTAACCAGAAGAGATGACAAGGGAGCTGGATTTTCTTATATGTAGAGAGGGTGTGAATGAGGGAATTAGTAGTTGATTCATAGGATTAATTTCAAATATAGCCTCAGAGGACTTCCGCTTCTAGTCAAGATAGAGTAAGAGGAGTTGGATTTACTCTCCTGCCAAGAAACAGGTAAGATAAAAAAAAATATGAAACAAAGGCACACAAGACATTGAACAACAGCAACATAAGACGGCGATCCCTCAGAACTGGGAAACAAACATGGTGAGCTCTAAAATTGCCCCAGCTTCATGCCTGAAGATTAGGCATAAGGGAGATGAAACCCAGGCAGAGCCAGCATTCGCCCTAAATGGAGGAGATGGAATGGTGGATCTAGGGAAGCCAGGCAGCTAGCGTTTACAAAGTAGAATACTAGACATTTGGGTAGTGAGAATTGCAGGGAGAGAAAATTCCAGAGGTCTGCAGAGGGTTCCCCTCAAGGGTTCAACAGAGAGTGATCAGCACATAAATGAGAGTTCACGGAAAGAAACACATGGAAGAATTAAAAGGCACAGTGCTCAGAGACCACACAGGACCAGAGATAGCACACTTACCCTACCCAACAGCCAAGGTAGAAAACCTCATAACTTAGGGGGCATCGACTGGAATTCTAAAAATGTCTTGTTTCATTGTTGGGCAAAGATTAACCTTATTTCTCATCTCATCTAACAAAACTTAAAAGCAAGGCCCCAAGGGATCAAACTGTTTCCAAAAGCCACATGCAGAACAAAAGTCAAGAATATTTATAGGACGACAAAAATATTCAGACACAGAAAGGTTAAATTCACAATGTCGGGCAACCCCCCAAAATAGAAGGCACACAAAGAAGTGTGCAAATATAACTCATGAGGAGAAAAATCAATCTACCTAAAAATGAAATAAAGTGGTATAGTATTACTGCCTTACCTTGGTAGTACCCTAAAGTATTAGGACTTGTGTTACATTTTAGTGGGGTGATTAAGCAATGGAAAAGGTGATAAAATGTAAATGTATGGAATTCAGTGGAAGTAGAAGGTTAGTGTCTTTAACTAGTCCCAAGTTTTGGTGAGGTGCTGGTTTTCCTACTTTACAATGAGTAGGGGTTGGGAGCAAATTTATTAAAATCTTGAAGCATATGGTAACCATGGGAGGCTGGAAGATTTAAGTGTGCTGGTAGCTGACTTTGGGTTATACTAGCAAAATTAACCTAATTTTAGAATGAGAAATACTTAAGTGTGCATAGAGATATAGCACTCAGCTTTTGTACCAAGGGCCTTAGGGCGATTTAGGGTTATTTGAGGAGTCCTGAGACTTTATTTGGGCCCTAATCAATACAGGACACAATTACATTGTGCTGACAGGTGTCCAAGTAACCTCTCCCTTTTCCTCTCTCTTATCAATACGAAACAGACTCAGACTTAGCGAATGAACTTATGGTTACCAGGGTGGGGGGCAGAGAGATAGATTGGGAGTGTGGGATTGACATGTACACACTGCTATATTTAAAACAGATAAACAACAAGGACCTACTGTAAAAATAAATAAATAAAAAGTAAAAAATAAAATCGGTATTATCTACATAAGCATAAGATCCTTTCTCTAGGAATTGTGCTGAATAAAATTATTCAAGCAAGTAAGAGAAAAAAAGGAAAAAGATAAAAATAGGCAATTTTATTGAATTTAGTTCCTGTTCGCTACAGGAAAGTCATAAATAGATGATAAACCTATTGTTTTGAAACTAAGACATAGCCCAACCTCCCCACTACCGAGCTCCACTAGTTGGAAATGGTGGTGATGAAACAGAACAAATGCAGCTGTGAAGCTTACTGAGCTTTTACATGGGCTTTGAACTTGGCTGTCTCACTGTCCTTGCCTGTTCTTGTGGTGTCTACCAATGCACCAACACTCCAGCTGTCATTGCTGCCTTTGCCTTTGTGCTCCTATCGGCATTGACCTCTCTGCAGGATAGAGTCCCCCATAACCCCCTGGCATGGCCCACAGGACTGAATAAAGCTCCTCACCAGAGGCCATTTAGAAACTGTCCAGCAAAGCAAATGAAATGCAAAACAAAACAAATGAAACAAACTACAAAAGCAGTTGATTGATTCACTTATTATCTAACTAATCCTGAGTTAAACAATTAAATGTTAATTTAGATTTGGGGAAAAAACACAGTTTCTAGCTTTTCTTTTTTGAAGTTTGAGTTCTGTCCATGATAATAATAAAATCGCTGTGATTTTGAAGGGCTACTTTAATTAGCAGAGTTGAAAGATTAGATTCAATTGTGAGTGGCTAAGAAATATCATTTTAGGCAAGAACAACATTCTCTGGTTCCCTAAATAATAGCATGTAGAGCTGTAAGATCCTGGCAGGCTGCATCATGGGGTCAGCCAGCTGGGCCCTGGCCCAGGGCACCAATCTATGAGGGCACAGAACAATCACTGTCTCTGCTGGAGAAGGTATATTTATTGAACTCCTCTCTGTGTAACTATAATATGAGGTTGAAAGGAATATTTTGTTAAGTTAGTTGGGATATGACAGGTGAAATCCCACAACGTATTCCTAAGAAGGCTGGCAAAAAGGAAAAGCAAAGCTTTCATTTTGCCCAGCTGGAGTCCAAGTTTGGAAGCTGAATGGAATTGGAATTGCTCATGACAATGGACTGGAGACAGCTCCTCTCAACAGCTGTCTTTTCTTAATTTTTTTTCCTCTCAGGAACCCAGCCTCAGCCGTTAATTCTGTTGAACAAATATTGAAAGAAAATCAGCACAAGAAGGTACATAATTTTTATCTAGTGATGCACAATATTGTTAAGCCACCACATATCTTGGTCTTAACACTGGGCTTGAGGAACTCCAACTTTGTAGATCCAGACTTGTCTACCCGAAAGACAGAAATACAGGTAAGGTCATATTTAAGTGACTAGATTTCCAGATATGAAGCCTAATGAATAACACAAAAATCACACTTTAACATAAACAACACAGTACAGCTGTTCAATATTTACCTTTTCAAGAGGTTCATTCCACCTGTTCTAACATACTGTCTTAATCCAACTGATAAGATGTTATCCTATGCATTTCAGCACATTGCCTAACTGCTAGTCATGGCTTATTTGCCAACTGAGAAATATCCTGGAGGCAGGAAGTTACTGAAGAAGTTACGGGAACCAGAGGAGTGTTTTCTGCAAAAATCAGAAGGAAAAGAAGTTGCAAAATTAATGGATTTCTTAGAGTCCAAGAAGGAGTAGGCTGTGCTAAAACAAAAAGTAAAACCTATCTGTGTACTTATTCATTCACTTACCACATGCAGTCAGCCCTCCCTGTCCACAGGTTCTGCATCCTTAGATTCAACAACCAAAGATCAAAAATACTGGAAAAAAATTCCAAAAATTTTCCATAAAGCAAAACTTGAACTAGCCACACACAGGTAACAATTTACATAGCATTTTACAATTATTTTCATAGTATTTACATTGTATTAGGTATTATAAGTAATCTAGAGAGGATTTAAAGTCTATGGGAGGAAATTATAAGCAAATACTACGCCATTTTATACTTGAGACACTTGAGCATGCACGGATTTTTGTATCCATGGGAATCCTGGAATCAATCTCCTGAAGATACCAAGGGATGACTGTAGTATGGAGTACCAGAAGTCTATGTTGCAGCCATTGTTCTTGGCACAGGGGAAAGAACACAGCAAAGAACAAAACAAAGTCCTGCACCATGGAGATGTCATCCTAGAGAGAGAGAAACAGTAATCTGATAACTCTCTGTAGTATGTCAAATAGTGATGAGAACTGTGGTGGAAGATGAAGCTGATGATGGGGAAAGAGCACGCTGGATGGGGGGATGGGTTGATTTGCTACTTTATTTTACTTAGAGTGATCTGGGAAGGCATCACTGATAAGGCAAAATTTAAGCAGTGATGTATAAGAGGTGAGAGAGTTTATGGTTACTGAGGGGAAGGATGGGAAGGAGGGATACACTGGGAGTTTGGTACTGACATGTATACACTGCTATATTTAAAATAGGTAACCAACAAGGACCTACCATATTGCACAGGGAACTCTGCTCAATATTATGTATTGACCCATATACATGTTGTCTACAAGAGACCCACTTCAGACCTAGGGACACATACAGACTGAAAGTGAGGGAATGGAAAAAAGTATTACATGCAAATGGAATCAAAAGAAAGCTGGAGTAGCAATACTCATATCAGATAAAATAAACTTTAACATAAAGAATGTTACAAGAGACAAGGAAGGATACTACATAATGATTAAAGGATCAATTCAAGAAGAAGATATAACATCAATTCAAGAAGAAGATATAACAATTATAAATATTTATGCACACAACATAGGAGCGCCTCAATACATAAGGCAAATGCTAACAGCTATGAAAGAGGAAATCGACAGTAACACAATAAGAGTGGGGAACTTTAACACCTCACTTACAGCAATGGACAGATCATCCAGACAGAATATTAATAAGAAAACACAAGCTTTAAATGACACAATAGACCAGATAGCTTTAATTGATATTTATAGGACATTCCACCCCAAAACTGCAGATTACACTTTGTTCTCAAATGCACACGGAACATTCTCCAGGATAGATCACATCTTGGGTCACAAATCAAGACTAGGTAAATTTAAGAAAATTGAAATCATATCAAGCACCCTTTCCAACCACATCACAATGAAATTAGAAATCAATTACAGGGAAAATAATGTAAAAAAACACAAACACATGGAGGCTAAAAAATAAGTCACTGAATAACCAAGAGATCACTGAAGAAACCAAAGAGGAAATCAAAAGATACTTAGAGAAAAATGACAATGAAAACATGATGATCCAAAACCAGTGGGATGCAGCATAAGCAGTTCTAAGAAGAAGGTTTATAGCAATACAATCCTACCTCAAGAAACAAGAAAAATCTCAAATAAACAATTTAAACTTACACGTAAAGGAACTAAAGAAAGAAGAACAAACAAAACACAAAGTTAGCAGAAGGAAAGAAATCATAAAAATCAAAACAGAAATAAATGAAATAGAAACAAAGAAAACAATAGCAAAGATCAATAAAACTAAAAGTTGGTTCTTTGAGAAGATAAACAAAATAGATAAATCATTAGCCAGACTCATCAAGAAAAAGAGGGAGAGGAATAAATAAAATTAGAAATGAGATAGGAGAAGTTACAATGGACACCACAGAAGTACAAAGCATAATAAGAGGCTACTACAAGCAAATCTATGCCAAAAAAATGGACAACCTGGAAGAAATGGACAAATTCTTAGAAAGATATGAACTCTCAAGACTGAACCAGGAAGAAATAGAAAATATGAACAGACCAATCACAAGTAATGAAATTGAAACTGTGATTAAAAATCTTCCAATAAACAAAAGCCCAGGACCAGATGGCTTCACAGGTGAATTCTATCAAACATTTAGAGAAGAGCTAACACCCATCCTTCTCAAACTCTTCCAAGAAATTGCAGAGAAAGGAACACTCCCAAATTTATTCTATGAGGTGACCATCACCCTGATACCAAAACCAGACAAAGATACTACAAAAAGAGAAAACTACAGACCAATATCACTGATGAATATACATGCAAAAATCCTCAACAAAATACTAGCAAACAGAATCCAACAACACATTAGAAGGATCATACACCATGATCAAGTGGGATTTATCCCAGAGATGCAAGGATTCTTCAATGTACACAAATCAATCAATGTGATATACTATATTAACAAACTGAATAATAAAAACCATATGATCATCTCAATAGATGCAGAAAAAGCTTTTGACAAAATTCAACACTGATTTATGATAAAAACTCTCCAGAAAGTGGGCATAGAGGGAACCTACTTCAACATAATAAAGTCCATATACCACAAACCTACAGCAAACATCATTCTCAATGGTGAAAAATAGAAAGCATTTCCTTTAAGATCAGGAACGAGACAAGGATGTCCACTCTTGCCACTATTATTCAACATGGTTTTGGAAGTACTAGCCACAGCAATCAGAGAAGAAAAACAAATAAAAGGAATACAAATTGGAAAAGAAGAAGTAAAACTGTCACCTTTTGTAGATGACATACTATACATAGAGAATCCTAAAGATGCCATCAGAAAACTACTAGAGCTAATCAATGAATTTGGTAAAGTGGCAGGATACAAAATTAATGCACAGAAATCTCTTGCAATCCTATACAATGAAAGATCAGGTAGAGAAATGAAGGAAATAATCCCTTTCACCATTGGAACAAAAAGAATAAAATACCTAGGAATAAACCTACCTAAGGAGGTAAAGGACCTGTATGTAGAAAACTATAAGACACTGATGAAAGTAATCAAAGATGACACAAACAGACGGAGAGATATACCATGTTCTTGAATTGGAAGAATCAATATTGCAAAAATGACTGTACTACTGAAAGCAATCTACAGATTCAATGCAATCCCTATCAAATTACCAATGGCACTTTTAACAGAACTAGAACAAAAAATCTTAAAATTTGTATGGAGATACAAAAGACCCCGAATAGCCAAAGCAATCTAGAGGAGAAAAAAATGGAGCTGGAGGAATCAGACTCCCTGACTTCAGACTAGGTTACAAAGCTATAGTAGTCAAGACAATATGGTACTGGCACAAAAACAGAAATATAGATCAATGGAACAGCACAGGAAGCACAGAGATAAATGCACGTACCTATGGTCAACTAATCTATGACAAAGAAGGCAAGGATATACAATGGAGAAAAGACAGTCTCTTCAATAAGTGGTGCTGGGAAAACTGGACAACTACATGTAAAAGACTGAAATTAAAGCACTCCCTAACACCATACACAAAAAGAAACTCAAAATGTATTAGAGACCTAACTGTAAGGCTGGATACTATAAAACTCATAGCGGAAAACACTCTTTGACCTAAATCACAGCAAGATTTTTTTTGACCCACCTCCTAGAATAATGGAAATAAAAACAAAAGTCAACAAATGGGATTGAATGAAACTTAAAAGCTTTTGCACTACAAAGGAAACCATAAACAAGATGAAAACACAACCCTCAGAATGGGAGACAATATTTGCAAATGAATCAACGGACAAAGGATTAATCTCCAAAATATATAAACAGCTCATGCAGCTCAATATTAGAAAAACAAACAACCCAATCAAAAAATGGGCAGAAGACCTAAATAGACATTTCTCCAAAGAATATATACATATTGCCAACAAACACATGAAAGAATGCTCCGATATATATTTTCTAGTGAAAGAGTCAAGACAGAACATTGCAACAGAAAATATGAACCAAATTGTATAAAGTAAGAAGCATTACTATATAATTAAATACTTAGACACTCATATCACACAGATACATACATGTTAAATGTATAGAGAAAGGTTTGGATGAAGTGCACATTGATTTGTTAAAACAAGTTACTTTTTTTTTTAACATCTTTATTGGCATATAATTGCTTTACAATGGTGTGTTAGCTTCTGCTTTACAACAAAATGAATCAGTTATATATATACATATGTTCCCATATCTCTTTCCTCTTGCATCTCCCTCCCTCCCACCCTCCCTATCCCACCACTCCAGGCGGTCACAAAGCACCGAGCTGATCTCCCTGTGCTATGCGGCTGCTTCCCACTAGCTATCTACCTTAAGTTTGGAATTGTATATATGTTCATGCCACTCTCTCGCTTTGTCACAGCTTGCACTTCCCCTCCCCACATCCTCAAGTCCATTCTTTAGTAGGTCTGTGTCTTTATTCCTGTTTTACCCCTAGATTCTTCATGACATTTTTTTTTCTTAAATTATATATATATGTATTAGCATACGGTATTTGTCTTTCTTTTTCTGACTTACTTCACTCTGTATGACAGATTCTAGGTCTATGCACCTCATTAAAAATAGCTCAATTTCGTTTCTTTTTGTGGCTGAGTAATATTCCATTGTATATATGTGAAACATCTTCTTTATCCATTCATCCGATGATGGACACTTAGGTTGTTTCCATCTCCGGGCTATTGTAAAAAGAGGTGCAATGAACATTTTGGTACATGACTCTTTTTGAATTATGGTTTTCTCAGGGTATATGCCCAGTAGTGGGATTGCTGGGTCATATGGTAGTCCTATTTGTAGTTTTTTAAG